ACACGCTTCCATTCGCAGTAGGACTCGGGCAGCATGGAGTTCATGTGCTTGGGTCGATTAAACATCATAACCAGCACGCCATGCTTGAAAAGTTCAAGTTTGATGAAGTTCAGCTTTGGAAGTGATACCGATGACATGGTAAAAAGAAAATAATGAGGGAAAACAAAATATTTAAACCCGATTCCAACAAGTATTAGCTGGCTTTTTATATGCTGTATATTAGTAATTCCGCCGCTAAACAACTACTAAATATTAGGATTGACGCTTTCCAAGACAAAAAACCCACGGAATAACTGTAGGATTTTCTCTAAACAGACAATCTTGTAATAAAAAATTCTACCTTATTTGGAAATAGAAAAATAAAACAAAAAGTGATGAGAGTGGGATTCGAACCCACGCCTATAATAGACCACGGCCTAAACGTGGCGCCTTAGACCGCTCGGCCATCTCACCCATAGAGTTTCTCAACCAACACAGTTGACTCTTGATAATCCGCTTCCTAAACTTTTATTTAGATCTCATCTTGCTAATAGCTGATAGGTTCATTGCTTTAGTTGGTGCTTTTTTGCTTTATGCCAACAACTTACATTTATAAGTAACTTCTTAAAGATAAATTAATAATAATTATAGTTCTGCATAGAGCTGAGCGAGGACATCCTGGAAATAGGATTTAGCCAAGCGACGTTTAAGTTTAAGGGTGGGCGTGAGCAAATCAATAGATTCGAAGGGGGTGGCCAAAAGACGAATATTTTTAGGGATCTCAAAGCCTCTTAAATCATGGGCCTTACCCCAAAGAGCCAACTCGGCAATGACTTCTTTTCGAGCCAGCTCACTTCGACATAGCTCGTCCAACGAGGCATCGCTAGAGATGCCTTTGTTTTGTAAGAACATGGGGAATAAGGATTCGTCAGGGATTATTATAGCGACCAAGCAACTTTGTAAGGAGTCTCCGTAGACGAATGCCTGGTTTACTATAAAGTGATTCATCAGAGTGTTCTCGATTTTTTCGGGAGTTATAAATTCACCTTGAGCCAACTTGAAGAGATTGTTTTTACGATCGATTATATGGAAGCGTCCTCTATTATCGACCATTCCAATGTCTCCGGTGCATAACCACCCGTCCTGAGTAAACGATGTGCAGGTGGATTCTGGTTGTCGGAAATACTCAGTTGCCACATTCCCGCCCTTTATAAGTATTTCACCACGGGGATATGGTTGGTCGGTGACGTTGTATCCTAGATTAGGAACGCTTTTTAGCTTCATCATCGAGCATGGCAACGGTGTCCCCACATTGCCAGGCTCAATGTCGTCGATCAGGGTTACAGTGGCCGGTCCAATGGTCTCGGATAGTCCGTAGCCCTCAATGACATTGCAGGAAAAGCAGCAACGTAGAAACTCCAGCGTTTCGGGAGAAATAGGGGCGGATCCGCTTACAATCAGGTTTAAGCGACCGCCAAATTTCTCACGTAGAGGTTTGAAAATCACCCGATCCCATAGCCAGTGAGCCAGCTGGCCACGGCCCAGATTGTTCCTTTTGGTGTTATATGCGTACTGAAACAGGGCCGAGGGCAGCCCGCCTTTCAGTTTCACCGTAGACAAGACTTTTTCCTGGATCCTGCTGAATATCCTCGGAACGCCGACAAATATCGTGGGCTGCAGTTCCTTGAGATCCTCTACCAGCTTGGCAGGATCACTTCGAGGGAACGCCGTTCGCCCGCCACATACACCGACCAAGTGAACGACCACCCGCCCCAGGCAGTGAGCAAGCGGCAGGAAGCCTATGGAGCAGTCAGAGGGGGTAAACTTGTACATGTCACCGGCTTCACGCAGGGCAAGACAGGCTGCTATGCAGGCAAGAAAATTGGCATGTGAAATAACCACGCCCTTGGGCATTCCTGATGTTCCTGACGTATAGACAATGGTGGCAATGTCTTCTGGGACCGGCAGCTTTTCCGGGTCCACCGGATGCCTTGAGCCCGCATCTTCAAGCGACGCCAGCGAGTGTACGCGGATGGCTAATGCGCCATTAGGGGAAGGGGTTTGCAGGTCAACTACTATAAGAGAGGTTACCGAGGGTAGCCGGTCGGCAGCGCCCAGTAGTATACGGGCATGTTCGGCCGTGCACACAATGGATTTGACCTCAGACTCTCGCACAATGTGCTCCAGGGCTTCTTGACCCAAAGTGGTGTATATGGGCACGGAGATAAACCGCTGGTAGTAGCATGCGTATTCGGTAAGCACCCATTCAATGCTGTTGGTAAGCATGATTCCAACTCTGTCTTGTGGCCGCAACCCTATATGGTAAAATCCCGAGGACAGGTCCATAAAGCGTTTGTGGAATACATCCCATGACAGCCACCGATATGGACCGACATTCCCCATTCCGTCAATTACCGGCCGGTATCCAAAGACGGCCGAATCCCGCCCTGCCAGTGCACGGCCGCGTAGGAACGCATCGTAAAGCGAGTTCAAGTTGGGAGAGTGGTTCGTGAGACGACCGTTGCTATTAATGTGGTTGATAAACGGCTTGGTTTCTCCTGGAATCGATGGGGCCCCTGGCAGCTCAATGGCGCATTGAGACACGCTGTTTCTATGTGGCGCCATAACTAGAAAAAGCCTATTATATCAATAATAGATAGAATACAGTTTAATTAAGGTTAAAAATCGGAAAGCATCAATAGTGCTTGAGATCGGAGGGGAAAAAAGAGATATTCATGAGGATGGGAAAAAAAGAGAAGGGATCATTTTTGTAATGAAATTGGTAAGGTTCCCAAATTAGCAAACAGGCGAAATTAAGATCGCCCTACGAGAAAAATTAAGGGATGATCACTTTATGTGTTTATCTTTTTCTTCTTCTTTTTTTAGAGAACTGGGTAGCAAATTATGTTTTCAGGTGGTGTGTTGCGTTCATCACAGCAGCTACGTGGTGTGCCGCTGTTTGCCAGACAGCTAAGCACAAGCCCGCGGCCCTTGCTGGCGCGCAGCTACACGACTTCAGGACGCCCCAATCAGCTGCGAATGGGCCAAACGCGAGGCGGCGGCAATGGACAAAAAAGACCTGGCAACAACTCCTTCCTGTCCCGCTTTGACCGCATCAACCCGCTGGCTCTGGTAGGCGCAGCGACGATTTTGATCTCGGGCTATATGCTGATTATCAAGCCCTACATGGAATGGCGCTCAGAACTGAAGCACCGTGCCGTGGAGCGGCAGCAAGAGGAAGAAAAAGCCCAAGCTGGATACACAGAGGAGCAAGTGGCAAAGTTCCCGTTTGGCAAGAAAACCGTAGTGTTTGTGCTTGGCGGCCCTGGCTCCGGAAAGGGCACCAACTCAAGCAAGCTGGTGGACGACTTTGGCTTTGTTCATCTGTCTGCCGGCGACTTGCTGCGGGCTGAGCAAAAGCGGCCTGTCTCGCAGTATGGCGAGCTTATTGCCCATTATATCCGGGAGGGCCTGATTGTTCCTCACGAGATAACGATCGGTCTGCTGCGCAACGCCATGATGGACCACCCCGAGTCGGACCGCTTTTTGATCGACGGGTTCCCGCGCAACCTCGTGCAGGCCAAGGCCTTTGAGGACTCTGTGTGCAAGGCCAAGAAGGTCCTGTATTTCGAGTGCCCCGAGTCGACTATGCTGGAGCGTCTGCTTGACCGGGGCAAGACGAGCGGTCGGTCTGATGACAATATCGAGTCGATTAAAAAGCGCTTCCGCACCTACGTCAACGATAGCAAGCCTGTTATTGACGAGTATGCCAAGGAGGGCAAGGTAATGACGGTGTCGTGCAAAGGCTCGGTTGACGATGTTTACAAAGTCACTCACAAGAAAATGTCGGACTTTTTGCAAGCTCTAGAAAAGACCAGCCAACAACAGGATGCAAAATAGAAAGCTTTATAACGCTAGTAAGTGGGAAGGGATAAATCGCTTCATAAGTGATAAAGTGTTGGGAGGAAGAAGAAAAAAATCTACATCTAGTGCTTTTTGCCATTTGCAGTGCTCATTCGTATGTTGTTCATGGTGGCCATCTGGCTTTGGGCATCAATGGTGCCCATTTCCTCATATAGCCGGTTTATGGTTACTTGGTAGTGGCGGGTAGCCTCATGCCGTTTGATCTTGAGTGTCGGCGTCAGCAGCCCATATACGTCCAAGCCATATGGCTCCAGATACAAGTTGCTGATAAGCTCGTAGTAGCTAAGGTTATGCTCCACCCCGTGGCTATTCAGCTCGCTCATAACCGCACTGCGGACCACCGTATCAATGCACAGCATCTGATGCGATGGCTCCGACCCTTCCTTGATGACCTTCTTTTTGGTCAAAAACACCCGCAGAAACTCTGGATCCAGAACCACCACGGCTACCAGCGACCCGCGGCTGCTGTCTCCGTAAACAAATGCCTGGGTGACCAGATCGTTGTCGCAGAACACATATTCGAGGCGCTCAGGCTCTATCATATGGCCGGTGTTGAGCCGGAATATGTTGCACTTGCGGTCGATTATCTTCAGCCGCCCCAAGTCGTCAAACATGCCCAGATCTCCGGTGCGGAACCACCCATCGGGCGACAGCACCTCTGCAGTCAGCTCTGGCTGCCGGTAGTAGCCACGAAACACGTTTGCTCCACGCACCATTATCTCGCCCCGTGGGTATGGCTTGTCTTCTACCGTATATCCAAGCTCCTTGACGCTGACCAGCTTGATCATGTTGGTGGGGAACGGCGTGCCTACCGACCCCGTGGCCGCGTCGTCATGGGTGGTTGAGCTTGCCGGCCCGCACGTCTCTGTCAGGCCGTACCCTTCGTTGACGTCGCATGA